GAATATTTGAATATTTAAGCCAGTTATATTTGTGAGCCAACTTTGCGTTAAATTGAATTGTGTGTTTTTTAACTACTAGCTTATTTAATTTTAAATTGACTGTTACTTTAAGTTATCTTGCTATAAATGCTGCCTGAGTTTGCGCAAGCACATGATATGATTTCCTGTTTAAATTCTCATTTTAATAAAAAGATAGCTAAAGCCTTTTCAAGGCTCTGTGTGTTAATTATTGTTATAGCAATAATTCGTTTAACATTTGTTACTTGTTTATGCTTGGTTTATGCTGGTTTCTTTAGGTCAAGCTTTATTATCCTTCAGATATTTCTTTTCCTTCTATTTCCTAAAATATGTTTATTATTTTTTAGTAAAACACTTGAATCTGAAAAAAGATTATTGAATTTTTAAACACGTAATTTATCCGAATTAAATAAATAATACATATAATTGTACCAAATATAAATCAAAATGGTTTCATTTGCGATAAAAGACAAAACATTTATAGAATTAGATATAATTATTATCCTGGGTATATGCGTATCTCAACAAATTAGTTAGTAAAAAAAAGTAAGTTCTTCTCAAACTGAATAAAATCTTGAAATAGGGCGGTTCGATAGATAGAAAATAATTATGAACTACAAATAACTAGCCCCACCTGGAAGGAGCGAATTAAATATTTTTTTTTATTACTTTGGGATAACCCAAACGCATTTTTCTAGGGATAGGCATTGAAAAAAAGCAAAATTATTTGCAATATTCGATAATTAACTACTATGATTTCCACATCATGATTTCCTCTCCCTCCTTATAGAAAGTTTGCAGTATCTTCAGGCTCGTAATCACGGTTATTTGTTGGCTTGACGAAGCAAAACTGCGATTAAGCGTATTTTGCTTTTGCTGTGTTTTGTAGTTTTTATCACTCAGAACGTTTTTTTTCACACCCATTTTTAAGTTTTCGTATTCTAACCATTTGGCTGTTTTCCCCAACTGTTTCATGCTTTTTTCACAGTTTTTCACATTTATTTTGCCATATCATCAGAAAACAATCGGTTTTGTAAGTTACGCCTGAAGCGTATAAAACTTTTGAGCTATTTCTATTTTTTGCTTAAATGCAAAGATAACCATTCCAAAATTGATACAAACCAAATCTAATCTTTAATATCCTAGCCATGTTTCCAAAATCACGCATAAATTCAAATCGCCTCTTGTTTATCACATTAAACGCTCAGTTTTCTAAATATGATCATGAATTATACAATCTTCATTTGAAAATTGTATTTATTTGAAATTGTCTGTTTTTTCATCTGTTGATCATAAATCTTCATCTTTAATAATCGAAATTGCATATCAGGGTCGTAACGAATTTCTTACTTTGAAACGTTCATCATCACCGTCATGTAATTCAAATCTGATGATACAAGCTGTTACTTTTAATTCCATAGTTAATATCTGCAATGTTAATCTTTCGCAGAATCAGATGAAAGCATTGAAATAACTTTTCACAGTCATGTAAATTTCAACTCCTCCAATCAGTGAATGGTCTTATTGTTGAAACAGTTCAAAAAGCTTTTAAATGCAGCATAATTTTGGAAACATAATCCACCACTTAATTACTAGTAACGCTAATTTAAATAAATTAATCGTTCGATTTCAATTTCAACCAAAAATGAAAGCTATGCGTGAAATTCATACAAATTCAATCATTATTATTTACAAAGCTGATACGGGAAGGGCAAATCGTTATTGCGCACATAAATTGTTAGAGTTATGAAACTGATAAGTCAAAGTCCATATTATTGTATCGCTGAAGATCCTTACGCCTCTGACCTCTCTAAAGATAAAATAGTTATTAATTCCTCTCATATACTCCAAACTCAGTTAAAAGAATCAGTTATCTCACCTATTGCTAACTGTGCAATGTTTTTTGCTCCACCAAAAGTCCACAAAACTAAGATTTCTTTTAGTCTTATAGTTTATAACGTAAGAACAACATCATCCACTTTAGCCAAATATTATATTTTCGATTTTATCCAATACTTTATTATCCTTCAGATATCCTTTCTAACAATATTTACACAGTGCAGAATTATTTTGAAGTCGTCGATAAACTTAAGGACTTTTCTTCCCAGTTATCAGTCATAATTTCGTTCGATGTTAAATCACTTACTAACTACTGTTTCAGTTGAAGAAGGTATTAAATACCTTGAAATCAGGTTCCAAGAAATCCCTTTTACGCATGAAATTCATGATTAAATTTCTCTCGCTAACGTTCCTTTAAGTCAAGCACACTTCGTTTTCCAAAATAATTTCCATTGCCAGGTTAAGAGTAATCGTTTCAGGCTGGTATTTGCTACAATATTCTGAAGTCAAGTTATTTGTTAAAGTTATCTCTTAGGCGCTGAAATGACTAAATAGTATAATGAAATTAGCGCTTCTATGGTGATGATACATTAGCGATTTTTTATGGTAATGAAAATATTTAACCAGGTGTTTTATTTCTTATGGATTCAGTTGATCCTAGCATACAGTACATTTTTAAAGTTGAATTTGGAATTTGTCTTCCGTTCCTTGATATTCTAACAGTAAGCAAGAATTCCACTTTATTGTTTATCGTAAACTATTTTCTGACTCTTTGCCTTCGCTAAATCACGCCATATTGCTAAACAAAAAATGCTTTGTTTTCCCCAAAATGGCTTCTTTTGATATTGTGATCTCCAAGTTCATTAGAATCTTGTTTTATTATGAACATAATTATTTCAAATCGATTATAATTGACAAATATTTCTCCATTTTTTTAAAAAAACCTTAAAAAATTGTCGTTTTGCCATCAAAAATTGAATTTTCTCTGTAAGAAATAATCATAATAACCTTGTCCTTATTCCATTGCATTTCCTTATTACTTACAAAATGTCTCAAATTTTCCTTCAGTTCAGCTCTACAGTCATTTATCACTTATAAGTAAAAATGGTATATCGATTAAGATCGATATTTTTATATTCAAATCCGGACTTAAGATTATGGTAGCTGGCATAATTTCAGCCATACTGACAAAGCGGCAAGTGTGCATATTGATCGACAGAAGCTTACGCATGTCAGTACTTCTGTGACAATATCATTTGGAAAAACTACTGTCAAATAAGTTGTACGAAGGAATTAATGAGGATGATCACATTAATTCAATATAAACTTGCAGTCTCAAATTAAATCAGGGTCATTCTTCTTGCCTGGATATCTGGCTAGTATAGTAACGCTACCGGTATACATTTTCTCCCCCCTTTCTACATTCCTTCGTGGTGTAAAGATAGTACACTGGGTGAGTATTCGAGATATCCAGGTTCGAGTCCTGGCGAGAGCATTGCTCATTTTTCATGTCTCTTGCTTCACAAAAAAAAAAAAAAAAAAAAAAAAAAAAACCTAATCTTTCTACAGTGGCGCCCGGACTAAAATGTGGTGAATGATGATTCTTCGCCACCAGGATTTGGCTATTGCGTACCCTAAATTCCCAGTAGTCCTTTAAAAGGGCAGTATGTATGGCATATTTTCCCAACTTTCTGCATGCCTTCGTGGTGTAACTTAAACAAATTCGGCGCGTATTCGAGAGGTCTAGGTTCGAGTCCCGGCGAGGTCATTGCTCATTTTTCATGTGTACTGTTTCAAAAAAAAAAAAAAAAAAAAAAAAAAAAAAAACTAATGTCTCTGCAGTGACGCCCGAACTAAAAGTGGTGGATGATGATTCTTCACCACCCGGATTTGGCAATTGACCACCTTAATAACCAGTCGTCCTTTAAAAGGCGGATATAGAAGGTGTATTCTCTCTCCTTTCTGCATGCCTTCGTGATGTCACTTTAGAACACTCGGCGCGTATTCGAGTGGTCCAGGTTCGAGTCCCGGCAAGGGCATTGCTCATTTTTCACGTCTCCAGCACCAAAATAACCTAATTATTCTACAAGTATTCTAATAAAACTTTTATCTTAAAACAATCAATTTAAGTTAATTCATGAAATTTCCACCTAATCTATTACAGCTATGACGCTTCAAGGAAATTAAAAAATTATAAAACAGCTGTTACATATATTTTATCTAAAATTTATTTTCTCTACTGTGCTTTAGCTGAAGCTAATAAAGAAATAGTATACTTATATAAAAGTTATTACATAAAATCGTATATTTTAAAAATTTATTAAGTATCACTATACAATTTAAAAGAAAACACACTACTGATTTTTTACCCAGTTAGGATGCGTTGTGGCAAATGTAAGCATTTACAGAGTTTATGAACTGACGAGAATAAATATTACAAAATTCAGATTGCTTTTGTATATTTCAAATGAAATTTTAAGCTAAATTATTTTTTTACCTGAATTAGTAAACTCACGCACACAAGCCGTATTTTCAAATAGTGATTTTTTTATAGCACGACTTTATGATTTTTAAGTTAAACTCTCTCCAATTTCTATTTCTCTTTGGTTTTTCAATTTTTCAATTATATTTGATATTGAAATTGTAGTTTTGACAAGCCTCAAGTCTTTATGTTCAAATTTAAAGTTTTTCTTTTATAATTAAATAATTAATGCTTTAGTTGAGGATGCCAGTAGTTTCATATTCATATGATAAGACTAAATGATTACAACACTGTTGTTTGCATTCGTTTCCAACCATTTGGTATTCACGCAGAAATTTTTATCGATAATTCTTTATAATGCGATGTCATGTTCCAGGAGGGCTCACGAAATGAATGCAAATGAACTGCTTATAGATATGTTCACTTTAGAAACGTTAACAATATAATGCATAAATCTATTTGAGAATAAAGGCAGTGAAATTCCCTTAAAATAGAATAATTTCCTTTCAAAATAAAATACCCTTTTCGGGTGGGTATTAAATATTCTGCTTTAGTACACTATCTTAAAGAACCGATCATTCATCATGGGTATTTTCACAAAGGATCGCTCTGCATACACTTTGGGGGAAATTAGCGCCCACATTAATGCACACACAAAAAAAAAAAAAAAATATTTCCACACAGGCAACGGTCGATTATTCAAAAAGATTTTCATAGTTATCGGAGCGGGAAAGCGTAACGTAACATAGGCACACATAAAACATCATAATTATGCTTTTCTTTAATTAAAGGTCTTTGTCACTTGGTTCGTAATTACAGGGCATAGCACCTGTTCTCAGTTATTAAACCTGGAGAGGGAAAAGCAGAAAATGCAGCGACATTGGAGAGGAGGGTTGCTAGAATTGAAGCTTACTCCATCCTTTTGGGGGAAAGAAGAACTGATTTTTGAAAGTTTCCGGATTAATATGAATATATTGCCTAGCTTGTTAATTGTGTTTATTTAATTTCTTTGCTTCTCAAGGTATCTGAAGCATGGCCAATACCAGCGAAGAGATTCTAATGAAATTTCAAGTCCCCCCAAAAAAGTGAAAATAAGATTTCATCACTTTTGCACTGTAAATATCTTTTTACTTGTTTGTTTTGGTATATTTTCTCTATTTTCCTATTGTTGTTATTATTTTTGTTGAATAAATTAATTAGCTATTTAGGAATCATCTGATACAGTCTTCTCCTCTGAACTTAATTCGATATCATGTAATATGCAGACTTATTTAAAAACTTTTGGCGAAAAAATAAGATGTTTTGAGCATTTTAAAAAAGTTAGGATTAAAATCTTTGACTAAAGGTTTTAAATATTTTGGTAAAACAGGATTAAAATCCAGAATTAAATATTTAGATATTTTGAGAAAGTCATGATTAAAATCTTTAACTAAAGTATTTCTATTCGCAATTTATTTTGCATTAAATGTAGGAGTTTTCAAAAACAACTAATTTCTCAACTGATAGTTCTCTAAGATAGTATTAAAAATAATAAATAAAAAAAAATAATAAGACTGCAGTGAAATGCACATTTATTTACAGAAAAAGATTTATTAAATTCTTCTCTTTTGAAATACAAATGCTCGTTCCTCTGCTTTGTTTAACACGCTGCTTTGTTAGAATCACGCATTTTAAACCTTACTGAGAAGGAATCGTATAAATTTCTCTAGAATTTAAATTTAATACAGTTTTCAAGAACTGAGACAAAAATTAATTAAACAGTCGAATGAATGATATTGAGGATCTATAAAAAGTTACATAAAGATGAAACATGGTGACTAGCAGTAGAATACATACTTAGATTGTTTACAGTAAAAGATATTCTCCTGTGATAGCATGATACATTTTTTGAAACCTTTATATAATAACATAGGAATAAAAACTTTTATCTATAGCAACAACTTTTAAAAAACTGAGTTCTTACTTAGGAGCAGATTATAAAGAACATTACATACACTATAAATGCAGTTTTTTCTTGTTCTCATTTTCTTTGACAAGATATAAAATACATTCTTCACATTTGTATTGTCAAAACGTATGCTTAATATTTCACACATATTGACAACTTTGTAGAACCATACGCATCACATATTGGGAAAAACATTTTCTTTCATTTTGTGTGAAAAAAAAGCTAATTAAAACTATTTTAGTTTTATCTTTGATATTTCATCTTTTACTCTTGATTTGAACTAGGCTCATATAAGGCTTATAAACGTTTAACCGCTGCACTACCAAAATGTAAAATAATAACTGTGATTCATAATTTTTAACCTTTAGTTTCAATAAAAAAAGAAATAAAATGCTAAGTAAATACATATGTGCAGGAAGAGTTAATAGCACCTTATATAAACTAATTAATTCGGAAAGAAAGGAAGTATGAAAAAGTTTAGAGCATGGGTGTCTAAACTATGACCTTAGAGGGCCGCATTGCAAAAGAAAAACATTTGCGGGGGTGCATTGCAAAGAAAACAACTTACGGGGCCTTACATACAATATTTCTAACAAATTGAAATAAAAATTATCTCTATGTTTTTTATTAAAATAAATTCTTTTTATTATTAATTTTTTTAAATTTAAATTAGATATGTATAAGTACATAATTATTATTAATTTATAAATAATAATAAATATGTAATGTTTCGTTTAATTTATTTTGGATTTCATAAATAATAATATATAATGGATATTGTATTTGTAAATAATGTAATGTTTTCGTTTCATTTAGTTTAGATTTCATAAAGATGGAAAAAATTCAAATTAATGAAATGGTTGAATTGTCAGTGACCTTTGTCCTATTTTTATTTTTTATATTCATTCTTAAATAATTGTTCACAAATATAGGGACTGCCAAAAGCTGAAGAACATTAATAAAGCATGATTGTGAAAATTAGTATATTAATTGACAGGTAGGTAATCTTTATAAAACTTCAGTAAAGAAACATTTTCAAATTTTTCTTTCAGTTGAATGGTCACTTTGCAGCTAATACATCATGGCATACTAAGATGTTTTTATTTTAATTTTATTTTAAAATAAATGCCAAAGAATCTATTACATACGAATCAAAATTAAACATTTATTTTTTAAATAAAAATGTATAAATTTAAATACTTTCCTTATTTGCATTTTGGCCGCATTTTGAAGACTTTTGGCTCGCACGTTAGGCACCCATGGTTTAGAGCAACAGGGTGTAGGATTCTCCACTGTGTAATTCTAAGTTACCGTTGAGAGTGAAGAATAAGAACTGATAACCGAATAATCGCTTGAGTTCGTGAGTTGGAAAACAACAAGTGAGAAGGGTGAAATAACCCTTTATTATTCCAACTAAAGTTTAACAAAACTCCGTCGTGGAGTTACACAATAAAGCCAACACTCGGGCCTCAACTTAAGAAACTAAGAATTAAACTAAACTAATCTTAACTAAAGGGATATAGCCGAAGCTATCAAAATTCTAACAGAGTTGGCCCCTTAACGCTAATTGACTGCAAAGATATAAAATGCCTAAAGTACGGCCGAGCGAAATAATGGCTTAACAGAGAGTAGCCTAAAAAGGCGTACGCGTGCTTGCCAGAATATCTGGTATCTCTCTCACTAAAACAGTATTAACCGTAACGGTAGAGGGATGTTGCCCACGTCCTCCGTCATTCACTCACTCACTCACTCTCACTAAGACAGTAGAATTTCATGGTTAAATACCGCTCTTCTTCATCAGCATTCAGACGTGATTCTAAAACTACGTTCTGGCCGGAAGTGGTAAGTTGAAATTAAGAATCGATAGGAAAGGAAGTTTAACTCAAAATTTAACGGTTAATAAAATTAACTTAATTCTTACAAGGGCTATTCCTAATTTTTAGGTTTGTTCTTAGCTCCAATTATGTATATATTATAAATGTGGCATCATAACACAAGCGTAAAATCTTTTCTTTGTTCGTTTAAATATATGGTAGAATAATTATCGATAATATATGGTCAAATAATTATCGATGAGCCAGTTTTAATTTTGGGATGAAGGATATAAATTAACTGCTACAGAGGCTATTCCCATATTTTTAGACGATTTTGCTTTGCTGTGTTCTCTTGCATTTTGGAAAAAATATATTATTATAATTTGGACCTTACATTACAGGTACAGGTACGGGTACAAGTAGAAGCTAGGTCAGCACCACCAGAGCTAATTGAGTACCAGAGCTAATTGAGGTATTGCTGAACCTAGCTAACTGTTCAGCCTACGCCCCAATTTTCAGGAATCCCGAAGGGCGATCCGAAGGTCTCCCACCTCTCTTACACTAACATCAACCTCTCGAGAGGACTTTCAGCTCGCCCTGTATTTCGAGTGCCCCCATTTCGCACGGACACTATACGTTTACAAACATCCATGCCATTTCCGGGATTCGAACTCGGGCCCGTCGGTACGGCAGTCAGTCTCATCAACCACATCACTTATTGTCAGCTTCTGATTGTGCTCTATTATAACTATTTGCTTGCATTCTTTCAATGGTAATCTTCATGTTAGCACAGTTATTGTAGAAGGTATAGCAATGGATGTTTTCTATAACCACGGGGATTTATCATTGTACGCAAAACTTCAAAATGCTTATACTGAAGACACTGGAAGATCTCTAAAACAAACAAATGCGTTACAGGGAACAGACCGACGCAGCTTAGATTATTTATGAAGCGGAAGTTCACAAAGATGACTATTTTGTAGCTAATACCATTAGATACTTTTAACCGCTAGAACCATTGGCGCAAGTTTTAATGAATGTTAATGTAAGGTAATAAAAAAGCTTAAGCTCTTATTTATACACATTTTATACGCTTTATCAGTAATTTGTGTCTCTTTTTTATATTACTAAGTAAAGAGTGATTTGGGATTATCTAACGCAGCGTTCATTAACACCGTGTGGTGCGCAGACCATAGAAAGTTCTCGAAACCTCCCTTGCAAGTAATCTTAGGCTTTCAAAAACAGACAAAAGTAAAATTCAAATTAACTGCATATACCACAATATGGTTGTAAATCTTAGAGTTTTGAAATTATACATGGCAATCGTCTATCGCTTTTTCTCCCAAGACTGATAACTTAGGAAATTTATTTTCGGTTACCCTGCCTACGGACTTCCTGCTGTAGTCTTAGCAACAAAAGAGAGATTTAAAGCACTACGACTGGGTGATACATAGCACCATGCATCCGAATATTGAACAGCTATCTATGAATAGGCAGGCTATCCATCTAATTGATGTGAGCATTAAAATGCTCTATTAGCATTTAGCATTTTCTATTTTATTTATTCTTTATCTTATTAACTAATGTTAATAAGATAATGATTATGCCAACTCAATAAACCTTGAATTATTAAAAAACAAATGTAAGTTTTCTTCTATTAACTTAATATAAAAAAATATAAATATCCATGTTATAAAATTGCTTTCGATGAGGAAAAGTGCAAAGTGGTTTGCAGAAGATTCTTATTTACAAAAGTGGTCCCCACTTGAAAAACGCTAATCTAAATAAAGATCCATATGTTATCTGGAAATTGATAAAGTGCCGTTGGAACGACTGCTGCATGTTTGGCGGGATCCCTACCAACTTTCATTTTTATTGGGAAATACAGATAGTTTTATAGATTTATATATATATATATATTTCTTTGATATCAGACAAAAACAAAAATTTGAAAAGTGGATAAAGCAACAACAAATTATATTGAAATCAAGGGAAAAAGTAAAGACTAAAAGCAGTAGCGCTTTATGTATATGAATTGTGTGAAAAGCTAAGATATTAGACTTCTACATTACGTTACTGTTTTAAGCGAGAAAATTTGTTACAATCATTTTTCTTTTTTCATACTTTTTCTCTTATAAAGATATTTCTCCCGCCTCCTTATCGTACCTTCGTAGTGTAGTGGACTGCACGCTCAGTGCGTATTCGAGAGGTCCGTGGTTCGATTCTCGACGAAGGCATTACTCATTTTTCAAGTCTCCTTCTTCAAAAATACTTAATGTCTTTTCACTCTCATTGTGGAATTGTCACCCTTCTTTTTGAAGAAGATAACTTATATGAAATCTGGAAATAGATAAAATTTAATTTACATTGTGCAGCAGTTTAAAACTCCTATGCCTCTTAGTTTTGATTTTTCTTTTCGCAATTTTCTCTTTCTAATTATGTCTTAAATGACTATTGTGGCTCCTTTTTGCTCTTCTTAATCAAAATATTATTTATATGCTAGCAAGGCAAAAATGGAAAATATATATAAAAATGATCCTTGATGAACATGCACGATAACGTGCAGGTTTACTTAATGCAATTTTAAGAAAATCCGATGGATAATAGCGTACATGATCAATATCGCAGCTTTCTTCTAAATAAACAAAAGTCGTATATAAAGTGATACCTCGGCATAAATACGCTTTAAATTAAGTCCAACTTGATATACTTCCTGCTTGGACGACAAAATTTTGTTTGATATACGATATTTGTTTGAAATAACGTGAAGGTTGAAATAAGAACGTGAAGGTTGAAACGAACGTGAAGGTTGAAATAAGACTGGATCTTGATGAGTTACCATTGCGCACAATACCTTGTTTACTTTTTTCAAGACAATGCTACGACCAATTCTAAGCAAAAGTGCGATAGTAATTATATTCTATTGTGCATATAGCTAAGGATATTTATTTCTGGTTAATCATGAGTCAGGATTGGATGACAATGATGTGGAGGATGTAGAAGTGGGATACCGAAGTGGGAACCTGAGCAAGAGGAGAAAATGGCAACATTCTCTTTGACCTCGGTTGAGAAGAAGATTGAGGAAGCCCGAACTTCTTTAATCAAGAAATTCTTTGCCAAATGGAGAGATGTCAGAAATTTTGCATAAAGGAACCATCGCTACAAAGATTAAACAATCAGTAATAGCGTTGTCTGGAATGACCCAGCAATGTCACATTTTCGAACATTCTGAAAAGAAGATTGGAACAAAGCTCTTAAAGGTCAGACCTGATGACCCTCACCCAGATCCACGTAGGGACCTGAGAACATAAGTAAATAAATATGGCAAAATTTTCTTTTACGTACAGCATATATTTTACACACTGCATTTGTATTTTAGTATTAAACGGTGTTATACTAATAACAATTAGATTTTTGTTGAGGAACATATAACTTATCAAAAATGTTCGTTTCGTATACATACAGTTTGAAATAAATCCAAGGATCTGGAACGAATAAGGCACTGATACCGAGATAGTGCTTTATTTATATATATTCTGATATATATATATATATATATATAATATTATGGCAGCTGGGCACATGAATGAAGCTTGGCAATCTGGTCACATCAGAATTCCGGACATTGTTGTGGCTGAGTGTAATCCAATGACGACTCAGAAGAATTTCACTTTTTAGCTCCATATTTTTATTCACTGTAAATGGCAGATCATTTAAGATTGCATATGCGATAGTAATTTAGACTGAATACGATTAACGTTAAATTTATTGCATCATACTGTTCAAACAAAGAAAGACACAGCGGCAGCAAAAAGGTGTTTCAGCAGCAGGCGGAGAAAAGCAACCTCTGACGCAAAATGGCGCGAATTCTTCATTTATAGGTGCGGTTACGTAATATGCTCAAATGTTCTCGAAAGTACTGGTCTAGGGGAAGATCTTGAAATTGCGGAAAGTTATTTAGAAGCTGCCTCTTCGCGAAGAGCAAAGCCATCGTGCGTTATGTTCAGAGTGAAATCTTAATTCAGATTGAGTTAGTTTTGGTTCTCAATGCATTTTGATTGGATGATTAATATTGCTGTTAAATTACTATTGGCTGTTTTAGTTTTAGTTTCATTTACATCAACAGAATTATGTATATTATGTATATGAGTCATATGACGTAGATTTTTCTCGAAACGACGCA